ATGGCAAACATGTAAAGGCATGACAAATGTGACTATGGAAACAGGGTGGTATCACTGTAATGAATCTCCTATCCCATGAGTGGTTTTTCCCCCTCCTGTGGTTTTCATGTCTTCAGACTTGTTAAAGGTACTATAAAACAATAGTGAACTCACAGCCCCATGACTCTAACAGTAAGATAGAGTGGAATCTGGACCAATGGGAGCTATCCCACATGGCATGATCAAATTAAAGGGCTTCCTTCCTCCTTCACACCAGTGCACAGTCTTTTTCTATTGCTGTTATTATTTTCACAATGAAATTTTAGTCAGCTTGGAAAGGAGGACTTGTTTAGGAGTGAGGAGTTAACTTGGCATTTCCTGACTTTTTTTAAGACAGGAAGTCAAATCCTAATTTAAGTTAATTGAGTTAAACTCTTTAAATGTCACTATAACACTGTTTTCTGCTTTCGTTACTGTGACGGTTCTCTCCCCCAACCATGTTTATGAAGTTTGGCTTATGAATGGCCCTGGGCCACTTCAAAAATTAGTGAAGTGCCCCCCACCCCATCTAAAATTATTGCCCACGCCTAACCTAGTCAAAAGCCATCTCAGAATTACATTCTCCTTTCCTGCTGTATTTTCAGGCGGATAAGGGATTCTGCAGCAACAAGATGGGCGAGGTAATATCTTTTATTGGACCAGCTTCTGTTAGTGAGAAACAAGATTTCAAGCTCTTCTTTGGGTTTAGAAAAGCTACTCCCAATATCAGAGCAAAATGCAAGGTAGAACAGGTTGTTTACTTATATTTTAAATAGCACACATGATAAGTATTGAGAGCCCTTTAATATCTCTACAGATATATGACAAAAGGGTGTTATTGGGATATAGATTATTCTAATAAGCCATAAATCCAGTGTCTCTCTTCAGTCTGTGATGTTTAATGTCTAGAAGAGTAATGATATTTAGCTTCCAGGCCTCACATTTGAAAGTGGTGTGCAGGTTTCGTTTGAGGATGAGGACTGATAAGTTAGATTTAGAGTAATCACTGTGAAAAAATGCTCACTCACAGGCAATATAGTGCTTCGGTCTTTTATACATTTCCTGTGTGAGTTCATTCAAGAGCAGAGTGATTGTCTGGTTTCACCCATATACTGAGCTATTGCAGCGTGTCACATTAATCTATGGCTGCATTCCACCTTTCTCCTCCCTGAAATGATTTTTGAGTATTTACTTGTATATGCAGTAAGTAGGAATTCTGCCAAGACAATTCTCTAAGGGCCTCAGTTCTTGGCCTATTCTTTCTTGAGTGGTTGTGGATTAGACTACAGAAACCCCCTTGGGTGTGCTGATCATGCCTCTAATGTCTGCTTTCCTGCCCTTTGGGACTCTCTACCACACTGTCCTGCTGGGCAAGACCCTGTGTCTGCCCCATCCAAGGCACAGAGTTGGGGTTACTGCCCTCTGCAGAGCAACAGAGATGCTGAACCAGCTCAGCTCCAGGAGCTTGGCTATAAGAACTCAGTATCCAGGAAACCAAACCACAAAAGGGACCAAAAGCCCAAATAAATCAGTTTTTTACCAAAGTTTCACACAGAGAAAGCTCATAAAGATGCTTGCCTCTTTATCTATGAAAGAGGTATGCACAGTGATAGTTTCTTCCCCCCCCCCTTCCCCTCCAGTAACAATTATTTACTCTGGGCTTGATGATAAACAAAAATGTTTTATGAAGTACAAAATGTAGGATTTAAGTGATTACAATGAAAACAGTCAGATCAAAGCAAGTTACTAAGTTTAAATAAACAATTCAAAAATACTAAATATACTCGACATGAAAATTATTACCCTAAACAGTTGTTCTAAACATCTTTCACAAGCTAAGCAGCCTCCTAGGTTGGGCCTAGGATTCTTCACCCCTACTCGATCTTAGATGTTTCCGAACAGGCATGTTAGGTGGTAAGTGGCATCTCCTGGCATCTGCCCCTTTTGTTTGATTTCCCTCACCCCATACCCTTTTTGCCCAAGGCGTGAATTCTGTAATCATACAAGTTCAAACTTTTCTCACCTTGAGTGGAAAAGTACAGGGTCCAAAATGGGTTTCAGCATCACGTGGCCTGGCCACAAGTCCTATGACCAACCACAATTTGGGCTTTTAAGAAGAATAAGCCATTCGTGGGTTGTTGGTTTGAATACTGAGCCATTATGTTTCCACAGCATCAGTAATGGCCCTTATTAGCACATTCAGATTTAAAACCAGATTCACATTTCATATTTCTAACTTCACATACAAGAATGATACATGCAAAAAATTAAAATATACAGATTCAGCAGACTGTAACTTTAAAATTGATGTTACATGAGATATTTTAGAGTGTCTGAGTTAAGTATACTCATAAGCCAATTTTCATAAAAGCATGGGGGACATAACAGTGGGTTTTGTTTTTTGTGAAAAGACTATTACTAAATTTATTCTTGATAATTATCATTATTATTATTCCCCTAAAAGAGCAGATTGTGAATACATGGTCATTAAAATTTGAATTGGAGTATTGTGCAGAGTGAGGTTTATAAATAATAACCTTGCTAATGTCAACATTGTATGCAGCACATACAACAGATTATGTGACCTATTCTGATCAAATAGCCACTTAACTGTGAGCAGAATATTTCACTGATCATGCTTCTTGGGCATTAATGATTCACTGGAAATGATGTGTTGTACGCTGCCTCCATGGTTCTAGTAACTGAGTAGCTGATAGAGGGCTGGAACATCAACCATTGGAACATATGAATCCTTCACACACAATCTGTGTTTAAGTCATGGTGTTGTTAAAATAGCAATAATAAATAAACAGAAATGAAAAAGTGCAACCCTGTTTTTATTTTTAAGGAAAAAAACAGATTTGCTTTGAATCTTCAGCTTTGGCAGAGGAGTCATGGTTTGGCAGAATGGAGGCAATTGCACAATCAGTTAATCAGTTTCAGACTGGCAATTAGTCAGTTGTCTGGGGGAGAAAGGTCTGGATGCTGTGGGGCACTTGGTCAGATACAGATCAGCAGGGAAGTTGAGAAGGTTGTAGAGCCCTTTTTTGTTTCTGGATTGACAGGGAGTTACAGAGGAGGTTCTGGAACATTCTGAAGCAGCTGGTCACTAATAGTTTGTCAGGAGCCAGTGCAGAAGGCTCTGGAAAGTCCCAGAAAATTGTGGCAGTCTGGGGTTTAGAAAGTGTGAGAGGCTTCCCCAAAGCAATTTGAGGGTATTAGAGGAAATGAGAACAGGGAAAGTTTGTGTTGAAAGATGTAGCTAGAGAAGAAGGATGGTAAGAGAATACTGCTGCCTATAAGGCAGAGAAGGAAAAAGCAGTAGTATGGAGGTAAGAGGACGGGAGAAGCAGGAGTCACAATGAATGGCCAATAGGGAAAAGGGACTCCAGAGAGATTTGCTCTACATCTAGACAGCAGCGCTATTTTGGGATACCGAAAGTATCCCGAAATAGCAATTCCACATTTTTAAACATGCCCGTCATTTCAAAATATATTTTGAAATAATGGACACACTATTCCAGCGTCCCTGTAATCCTTGTTCCACAAGGGTTAAGGGACTTGTCAGAATAGCACTTTATTTTGAAATTAGGCACGGGGTAGATGGCACCAAGTTTAAAAATAAGCTATTTCAAAATTACCTCAAAATAAGCTACACAATTTACATATCTTATTTCAAGGTAAGGGTGCACCCCAGGGGAGCCTTCTTCCCCATGGGTAATAACAGAGACAGAGAGAGAATACACAGAGAAGGGAAAGACAGGCTGTGAGACTACATAAAAATCAGGCACCGAGGACGGGGAAGTGAAAATAACTGTGATGGGAAGCTCTGAGCAAGAAATACTCCAGTGGGTTGATAAAAGCTGATCACCCACAGGGAAAAGTAACTTTTGGGAAGCCTTACTAATTGGTGAAGGGGGGAAAAAAACTCTACTGCCAGTTATTTCGTAGCCCTGATTTCAGTGGGAATTTTGAGTATGCAAAGAATACAGTCCCAGGACTAGAGTTTAGTTACATTGTTTTTTCTTTCATACAAAATACAGGAAATATTCCTCTGCATATATACACACCCCCTCTTTCTTAGGAACCTCAAATATATATTTAAAAATTGCCCATTCCTCTTCTCACCACCCTGTAATGTTTTTCTGAATACTCCTTTCACATGCCAGATGTATGTCAGTATGTGATGTGTGTGTGTAAGCCTAAAGTAAATGTCAGTAGGGGTATGTGTGTATAAGCCTAAAGAGACATAAGATGAAGAATCTGTGCTGGCAATCATATTCCTATTCTATAAAGCTGTGGTCTCCACCACACTAGCCACATTTGGCAATTTAGCCACTTGAGTGTGGTTAGTTCGCTTTAGCAATAGCTACTGCAGTGGCTACTGCTTCAGAACTGGTTGGACACTACAGCTATAAAGGAATATGGACATGAACTAATATTGTTTTGAAGAAAGGAGGAATCACTATTACTTGTGCTTTAAAGGAACCTCACTTAGCTTCTTACCAGTGTGGGGTCTATGGCACTGAGTGGAAGAGCTCTAATTCCACCCAGCAGAGGGCAGTTCGAGAGCGACTGTGCCTAGCCACGGCATCACACCAGGCCTGAGGGGAGTGTGTGTGAATTCTCACACACCGACCCGATAAGAGACTGCGGAACAAAAAGATGAACAAAGCGCGTGTATGTTCTTCGGCTTTCCGCTGTACATTGTGTGCCGAGGGGCCCGGTGGCTGCTGCCCGTGGCGTTGCAGCGCGCAGGGTTGCATCAGTCGATTTCCTGCCGGCTCAGGATGGAAGGTGTGTGTGTGTGTGTGTGTGTGTGTGTCTGCAGTTTTCAGGTGAGTGCTCCCGGGCAAGGGAGTGTCTGCCCTACGCCCCTCCGAGTGACGTCAGTCTGAAGCAGTCAGGTGACCCAGGCTCATTCACAAAAAAGGGGCAGGCCGCTCCGCCGCGGAGCCTATAAAAGGCCGCGCGCGCGCTGCAGCCCGCCAGGACCCTGTGAACAGCGGGAGCAAGAAGGGGGCACACAGAGCACTCGCGGACCCAGCCTCCATTGCAGTCAGAGGCGCTTCCCCTCGGACCCGGACTCTGCCTGTGCGGGCCGAGTTACACACAAGAAATTGCCGAGACGCGCCGCGCGGTTGGTTTGTAAAAAGCGCCCCGAGAAGCAACAAAGGAGCCGGGAGAGGAAGCCGCCCCCGCGCTCACACAAAGGGGACCCGCCCTTGGACCTCGAAAGAGACCCACCGCCCGTCCTCCCCCACCTCCCTGCCCCTGCGTTTGGGGACCCGGACCCTGCCCGCCCGCGCCGCGCTCCGAGCGATGGTCAACATGCAAGTGTGCGCCCTGGATTGCGAGGCGCTGCGGGGGCTGCTGCAGGACCGCGCTGCCCAGTGCCTGGTGCTGGACTGCCGCTCCTTCTTCTCCTCCAGCTATGCTGGCCGTGAACACTCTCTGTAGGGAGGCCAGGAACACGCGCATCTGCTTCCTCAGGGGTGAGTCCGGGGAGCGCTCAGGGCGGGGGAGAAGGGGGAGACTGTGCCAGCCAGACACTATCTGGCCTGTGTGTTCTCAGGGGGAACAGGGCATTTACGCCTCACCAATGCTAACAAGACTTTCCCCGTTTTCTCTCCCCATTCGGCCGTGAACACTCTCTGTAGGGAGGCCAGGAACACGCGCATCTGCTTCCTCAGGGGTGAGTCCGGGGAGCGCTCAGGGCGGGGGAGAAGGGGGAGACTGTGCCAGCCAGACACTATCTGGCCTGTGTGTTCTCAGGGGGAACAGGGCATTTACGCCTCACCAATGCTAACAAGACTTTCCCCGTTTTCTCTCCCCATTCCAGGAGGGTACGAAGCCTTCTCTTCCGCCTGCGCTGAGCTGTGTACCAAGCCAACCGCTCCCACGGGCCTGAGCCTGCCTCTGAGTGCCAACAGCATGCCTGGCAGTGCGGATTCCGGCTGCAGCTCCTGTGGAACCCCGCTCTATGACCAGGTCAGTAGGAAACCTGCTAAACAAGAAAGGGTCATTTGAATTGACTATAGCCCTTAAGGCTGGGCATCTCCAGAGGTGATGTTCAGACACAGAAAAGATAGTGAAGAGAGCAAATGTCTGCTTGCCTGCATATAGCAAAAGAAGAGAGGCTACTTTAAACCACACAGTGCAATTATCTGATCCTCTTCCTTTGTCTCTTCTTGTTTAGGGTGGGCCAGTGGAAATCCTACCATTTCTCTACTTGGGCAGTGCCTATCATGCCTCCAGAAAGGACATGTTGGATGCTTTGGGAATCACCGCCTTAATCAATGTCTCAGCAAACTGCCCCAACCATTTTGAGGGGCATTACCAGTACAAAAGCATTCCAGTGGAGGACAACCATAAGGCTGACATCAGCTCCTGGTTTAACGAAGCCATCGACTTCATAGGTAAATGAGTGTTCTCTGCAGCCTGTGCTTCCAGAGAATCAGCTTGCATTTCCCTTGAAGTAGAGATCTCAGTGGAAATCTCTAGCCCAGTTTAATCTTAAAATACATGGGAAGCTGTTTCCTCAGGGATTAAAGTAACATGAAGTAAATCTGTAGCTATCTTATTTGGGTCTGTGCTCTCTACGAGGCTGTATTGCTAACTGCTGAAAGGATTCTTGACTTTATAAAGCAGTTAGTAAATTTAGCCTGGTATTCCACCAGTAGGTTTTGATTTCTAAAACAGTGATAACTGTTTCAAACAAGTGTCAGAGGCTGAAAGAAACTATTTGTATCGTTGGAATTAGTTTTATTCGGGATAGAAATCCTTAGGTGGTTGTTTACCTCAGGACAAGTGTCTCTTTGTCTGAAGTGCCATGCACACCTTGAGTGCTGGGGAAAGAACAAATTCAGAAATAAAAGCTCATGTTTCTGTAGCATTGGAGGAACCGGACCCATGTATTAACCATGTCATTTAATTGATTATTTCAGATTCTGTTAAAAACGATGGTGGAAGGGTATTTGTGCACTGCCAGGCTGGCATCTCTCGCTCAGCAACCATCTGCCTTGCTTATCTCATGAGGACCAATCGAGTCAAATTAGACGAGGCCTTTGAATTTGTGAAGCAGAGGAGAAGCATCATCTCCCCAAATTTCAGTTTCATGGGGCAGCTGCTTCAGTTTGAGTCTCAAGTCCTAGCCCCTAACTGCTCCGCAGAGGCTGGAAGCCCTGCCATGTCTGTATTGGACAGAGGAACGTCAACCACCACAGTCTTTAACTTCCCAGTCTCTATCCCTGTACACCCTTCATCCAGTGCTTTAAGCTATCTACAGAGTCCCATCACCACTTCTCCGAGCTGCTGAAGAATAGAGGAACATTTATTCAGAATACAAAAACTTGACTCTTGTCTAAAAAGTGCAATAACCATGGGGACAGTGTCTTCAGTCATGTGAGTTCGCATGGGGTTCCATCCATCTCAGAGTAACTTATCACAAGCACAAAGGGGCTGATGTGACTCCAGAGAGCTAGTTCTTCCTTGAATTTGCTGGCATATTTTTGACCAATATCTGGATGTCTACAAAGGAGACAAAGAACACAGAATGCTGTTTTCTTCTTCTGAATTACTCCTCCTTTGTCAGGTTGAAAAGACTAGTCCTTGTTCAGTAGCATACCCACCAGTATTCCCATTTCTGGACATTCTAAGCAACAGAGATTATGTTCCATTTTATATAAAAGTCCTGTTTATTTATTTTATGTAGAAGCATTGTTCTTGCCTTTACAAGCCTGAAGTTTCATTTCTAAAGAAACCAAATACCTCAGTATTTTTTGGGTACTGTAATCCTGTAAACACATCTTAAACTGTTCCCACTTCCTAAGCACTGACATGAAAGCACCAGATGAGTGCTTTTTTAGTTTCCAAGGGTTGTATGTTTGCTGATTTATTTATGATGTGAAATAATATATTTCTTCTTATGAAAGAAGACATGGTTTTGTTACATGATTATGACTTTTTATACAAATAGAATAAATTATGATTTTTCTAATGAAATCTGGATGTATAAAGCCTTATGTTTTCATGATGTAGGCTATCTCCTGCCTCAGGCTACAGCATGCAGAACAGAAGTCTTGAGTTTAAGTACTTCTGCCTAACTTCATGACTCCCTGGTGTCTCAGTTAACCCAGCTGGAAAAAAAGGGTTTGTGACAGAGCCGGGACCTCATTGAAATCTAGATTATTTCCAGGCTAAACTCCGATAAATCTGTGGTTCAAGTAGAGGTGTGGTAAAGCAACACTCTCCCCCCCTTCTTTAATAAATCACATTATAAAAATTCAGAGCTACCTTCACAGCTGTGTGAAGTTGTATTAGCTGCATTGATATCAACAGAGCTAAGCCAATTTACCCCAACTGAGAAACTGGTAGATGACTGGCAGCCATCCAACTGTGAGAGAAAACAAATCCTTTTTTTTAGGACCTTCCTTATTACTTATTTACTCTTAACATTAAAGATTAAGTCTAAAATCTGGCCCACTACTGATAGTTGACCCATAATTGTAAAGCTACCCATAAGAATTCTAGTGACTTTCTTTGTAGCCCTTTATGTTTCTCTTTCCTGCCCAGAATATTTCTGTTACCCATAATGAAATGCTTGCCCTCTTGTGCCTTGCATTCTACACAAATCTGGGCATATCTACAGGGGAGAGTTCAATTTGCACTTGTTGAGAGCATATTTTATTTCTCACTGGGTCAAATTCTGCTCTTCCTGCAGATTTGTACAAGCTGTCTCCGTTGACTCCCGGGGAATTATTCTGCATTTACAATGATGTAATGAGGAGGAAGCTATCTCATTATGTGCTGTAACAAATACAGAATTGGGAATTTTTGCCAATGAATGTTCATACTATCTTTAAGGTAAGACCTACAATAACCTATAATGTGCAATGTAACACTGTGAGGTTAGTTGTGCACAGCTCTGTGGGACGTAAAGCATGAGGCAATCCCACTGGGAGTTTTGGGAAATATTGTGTGTTTAGGATGGCAGTTGCTGTGCAACCCATGTACTTCTGGTTGAATCAGTAATGCTGCGTGGCAAAGTTGGGTCTGGGTATTTCACCATCTCTGTATTCTGAGTAGATAACATGACTAGTAATACCAGGCTTGTGTTCAGAGGTGTGCCAGAACTGCAACTTTAGCTGTCTTCTTGCACCCAGCTCAGAAGGAGCTATGATCAGGCCCTGTTGTCTTTAAAATCCAGTGGATCTGATTCTCCTTTTGCATATTATATAGCCTCATCAAAGACAGATGCACATCAAATCTGACCCTGTCTCTCTATCTGAAACGAAGGCACTTACGTTAAAGTAGACTCTGAAATCCAAGGTTATGTTGGAGCCCTTATTGAGTATGTAAATAGCTGCTGTTTGCTTACACAGCCAGTGCTGAGCCAGACACCATCTAATTTATTGCTTTGTAAAGCCCTGTGAGGTAACTGGACTGATAATGTAAATCCATTCTATGAACAGAACTGGATTTTACTCTGGGGAGGAGGTACCCTTAAAAGTTAAAGATGATTGCACAGCGAGGTCTGAAATTCTCTCAGATAAAATATTCTACAGCTACTGCTCTGCCTTCGGGAGCATAAATTAGCAATCAGTGACCCCAATGGACAAAACCAAATGGAACAGCAAAAGGGAAGTAAACAAAGATCTCTATTCACTGATAACTCAAGTGAAAGCCCTCCTTCCCTGCCATCCTCCAATTCAGTGCATACATGAGCCTCCTGGAATTGAAATATCCTCCCCCACTGCCCAAATCCCAGAATGCTACCTGCCCCCTTTCCTTGTTTTGTGGAAATGAACTTGGAAGCTTTTATTGTTCCATGGAATTACACCCACCAGCACATTCCCTGTAAAATGAGTAAGGCTATTTTTGAATATGTGAGCCTCTTTACACCTGCAGTGATCAGCAGAACAAGCGTTCACCTTCAAAGCAAAGCTTACTCAGTGGAAAAATACAACCTTGGCAGCCTGTATGGTGTAACTTACAAAAAAAAAAATCCTGCTCCTGAATCATGGTTCAAACAGAATTCCACTCTCCATCAGCCATGGAGGTTTGTTTATATGTTTCTGGAAACAATAAAATCCATTATCTGGCATTTGGTTGTTTTCACAACCTAAATAGGCACCTGACAAAGGGGCACAAAGAGCTGCTTTAGCACAAATCATATTTCTAAAAAAACTATGCCAATTCAAGCTGGTCAAAACTTTCTCTGCAAGGAGGCTAAATAAATCAGATAAATAAAAATCTAGTTCTAAAGGATTGCACTATATGCTATTAATCTTAATTATGGTTATTGCAGTTGTGCCTAGGGCCCCACCAAGCTTGGGGCCCCATTGACCTAGGAGTTGTATAAACAGAGTGATAGACAGGCTGTGCCTCAGAAGGTACAGTCCAAATACAAATAAAACATACAAGCAGAGAGATCAATGTGACCGTGACAAGCATCATATTAGTGCCACGGTTTTGGAAGGTGATGGTGAGGCTTAGTCTGGAGATGATTAGCCAAACAGAAAGAAAAGGGAGAAGGGGACAGACCTTATGAGGATAGGTGTACAATGAAACTCGGTGAAAAGACTAAAACAGGATCGGAGAGGGCTGGAGCAAACAGCCAGCTAGAAAGGCAGAAAAAGACCGGTCACAACTGTAGAAAATATTACCAGTGTAACACATTGTGCTCAGTGTCCTATTTTCAGAAGTGGAGGTCAGGGTACATCAGTTTTCTAAACTTTATTTTGCCAGCTCTAAATGCTCAAGGGTGATTTTGCCCTTCTGCACCAGTATATATAGCTTGTATGCTGTGCATTATCATTTGCTCAGTATACCATACATAACACACTATATATTTAGCATGGCTCATCGCTCAGATTCTCACATTGACAATCTGTGGGCTGCACACTTAGAGGTGTATCGGGGCCTTTCAAGATAATGCCCTACATTTCGTATCAGGTCTTTAAGCCCCTAGTGAATGGGGCACAAAAATGGTGTGTGTGTAACTTTAAGATTATATAAGTTTGTCATTACACAGTTGCTTATGTCCCCATGGAAACAAACTGCTAGGAGTTTCCCTTTTGTGAGAAAGGCAGTAACATCACTTCCTGCTGCTGACTGATCAGTTTGTCCTGAAGTGAAAAAAAGGCATGTTTAGTGTTTACAGTAGTTGGTTCCAGGCTTTGTTGGTTGTCAAACAGAGCCACAAATGTACATAAATGCTGAACGCTGGCCATTTTGTCTACTTCTGAGGGAGACCCCTTGCAATGGATGTAAACGTATTCAAGGACCTGAAACAGCACTGCACTGCAGAATAAAGCAGGCAGCCATTCAGTCACAAAACGCACATTCCCAACATGCATATACATAGTCAACATCTAAACACAAGTGCATAGCACCAACCAACACAAACCACATAACCAGCATACATAATGATCATATAACCTATACAAAGCATGGGATCGGATGCAGCTGGGTTAATGCTTATATCCAAAGCTTCTGTCTTCATTCTGTAACCAGTCCTGTTAAAGGTACTATGTGAATTAGTTCAGTGTCTATCCCACAGAAATAGCCCTTGGTATCAGACCAGCAGAGACCATAAGTTTACATTATGCCGCCCTCAGGTACAATGCTGGAAAGAGATATTATATGATTGTGTTCACACATAAGGTGTACAGCTCAGCAAATTAGCCCCTGTTTTGTCTAGTGTCTGACTTCCATACCACAGGCAGCAAAGAGGCAGGTTTTATCTCCAGTGTTTGAGAATAATTTTCAAATTGAGTTGAAACACAGTTCCAGATAAACCAGGTTGGCTTGTTTTTGTGGATAAAGCCAAATTCTGTAAGAGCCATGCTCTAGGCTGGGCTGTGTCCTACTGTATTAAAACTGACATTTAAACACACTTCCTGTCAGTCCCTTCCGCACGATGACAACTGCCCTGATGGGTGATGCACAGTTGTCCCTCAACGTGGTTAAAACAAAGATTGGGTTTACAGCAGAGATTGGACCAAGCTCCATTTTGCACATCCCAAACTGCTGAAATCTGTGGCTATAGTAAGATTAGGAGGATGTTTTTGTTAAAGTGCAGTTCACTTCACTCCTATCTGCAATATTAAGACCAAACTGTGTTGGGCAGCAACTATCTTGTAACCAAACCTCCTTCCACCACCATGGTAGTTATTACAGGATAGAAGGGTCAGTAACTGTGTAGGATGGGGAGGTAATAAGAGGCAAGCTTAGGCTACAGGACACAGGCAGCCAAGCCAGGTGGTTCTCCTTAGGAAGCCAAGTCTGAACTACCTAGTTCGTGCCGCGTGTAGCCGCGCGGCACGGGGTTCGAACGAGCAGGGATTTAAAAATGGTGGTTTTTGCAAATGAAGCCCAGGAAATTCAAATCCCGGGCTTCATTTGCAAGTGCGGTATGCCTACATTCCCCCGCTAGTTCGAACTAGCGGGGGAATGTAGGCATACCGCACTTGCAAATGAAGCCCAGGAAATTCAAATCCCGGGCTTCATTTGCAAGTGCGGTATGCCTACATTCCCCCGCTAGTTCGAACTAGCGGGGTAGTGTAGACATACCCTCAGAGACTTTGTGAGGCAAGAGGGAGGGAAGAAAGAAACCCTAGATATCAGACTGCTCAGAAAGGAGCTCAAACTTGAATTTCATAGGCCAGATGCTCTGCAGATTTAAATTAGCAGTATGACTTTATAGGATTCTCTGCATCTTGGGGTCTTCAAAGTATTTGAAGGCTTCAATATCTGAGATATAGGTGAGAGGATTATTCTAGGAGGGGTGGGTGAGATTTTGTGGCCTGCACTGTGCAGGGGGTCAGACTAGATGATCATAATGGTCCCTTCTGACCTTAAAGTCTATGAGTCCATGAGACGCCAATTGACATGGACTGAGGGCCAGGCTCTATGGTTGTGAGTACAGCATTGCTTCAGACTTATGTGACTTGAAATTAAGGGCTGAGTTTTCAGATAATTGTATGTGTGAACAGCAGAAT